TATATATATATATATATATGGAATGTTAAATTAAAAAAATTTGGGTATTCTGAGCATCCTATTTACGTGATTTTGAGTACACTCGCTCTAGCCAAACTACCCATGATTTCAATTTCGCGCTAAAATATGTTTTATGCATAAGTTGCATGAACTGCAGCTCGAGAGGTAAGGCACTTCATGTGATCTTCAAAAGAGACGGAGTCATGCAATTGGCGGTAGGTTGAATCATGCATGCAGTGAGTGTGCATGAAAAGAAATAGAATGAACTTCTATGCTTCTATGCGCATTATGCAAGAAACGGAACGCAGGTGTTGATCAATGAAATTATCGGTATTCTAGTAAATTATTCTAGTAAATTCATTCACTTTTGTAATTTTCACCTCGTTTCAAGATACAAAATCGACTCAGAGTAATGATTGCAAAGTTATGATTGATCTCGCTGTTCCATTCCGTTCCAAATTTCCGCTCCATGGAACGCCGGTCTCATGGCTCCTGCACATTAGACGCGGAAACGCCGCGCGACAAAATAAGACGCGGTAACCAATGAACAGATTAGAAGCTTATTGGCTACCGCATCACATTTTACTGTGCAGCAAGCATTTCCGTGTTCAGTGTGCATCAGGCTGCTTTTTCATGTTGACGCTCGACGTTCATTTCCAGTGTCAAAACAGATCACGTAATCAAAATTGTTGCTTGATATTCGTCAATTTTGATCACATGATCTATTTTGACGTTCGAATCGAGCATCGAGTATCAGTATAAAAATGCAACCCAGCACAGTATATATAGCGCAATTTTTCTGATTTTATGTTGGCCAAAATGAAGCATGCATGCGTGAAATAAATAAATCGCCTCTCTTTTCTCCTTTTTTTATTGCTCTTTCTCTCTCTCTCTCTCTCTCTCTCTCTCTCTCTCTCTCTCTCTATTTAAATAAGCGTTTCAATGTTTCACTTAAGCATTTATCTTTCAAATTATGAGGGTCGATTCTGGGTGCGTTCGGGAAGATACTATTCGCGCTATGGATGCAAACGCTACCAACTGTTCTTGGAGTCAATAGTGCGATAGTGTTAGCAAGCTCCATGAACGATCTTAGCGTAGCATTAGTAGCATTTAATCAGAGAGATATCTTCGTCGAGGTTAAGTTAATGTAGGGAATTCTGTTTTCAATCATCAATCAAACTTTTCCCTATAATTAAAATTTTTAAGATTTTGTAAAGTATTTGTAACGTAATTTTTTTATTTTCTCGTAGTGAATAACAGAACATAATCTCAATTGCAATCTCTATGATAGCTTGCCGCTAGGCCGAAGTGAACAATGTAAACTTGATCAAAAAATTAATAGTTACACTCAGTAAATTAATCAGATAAAAGAAAGAATCCTTGAACATGGCGTTGTCGATTTCAAAAGAAGAAGCATACCTACATAAGGACATTAAGCATCTGCCGCGCTAATATCGCAATAATAACTTTTTTCCGTATACAAGAATTAAAAATTGCCAACAAGATATCTCTGACTTTCACATTTATTATAATGGAATCAAATACACAAGTTATTTTGCAGAAACTTTTAAAAATTAAAGATGATATACAAGAAAGAATTACGCTCACTCCAGCCTAGTGGCAAGTCATCAACAGAAATTAAAATTGAGATTGCATTCGTTATGATAAAATTAAAAATTCACACATTACATATATTCAAGGACTTCGATTCTTTCCCTAGGTTATTTTTTTAGAACTTCCAAAAATTCAAATTATTTTGTCTTTATGTCAGATTTATTTGTAAGCAGACGTAAGGTTTAATTATGTCGTTAATCGCGCACAGACTATGAGCATTAATGTAAAAAGGTGATCATTTCTCAATTTGTAAAAATTTCCGAAGGAAAGAATCGAAGTCCTTGGATGTACGTACGTTTATTATTTATTCTATAAAATTCTAAAAAGAGAATAGTTTGGTGCCACTCAAGAACAGAATACTCTCAAACATTAATCTAACTTTGACGAATGTTAAACTAGAGCATTAAAAACGTAGATATTCGCGTCCATCATTTTTATTCCTTTTCCTACTTCTTGTTTTGTCCCCATTCCATCACTGAGCTGTGACGGGTTATGGTCATTATAGGTTATGATTTGTATTTGCTTGAAATTTTGTAGCTCCTTTCATTCCATTTTTGTCCTCAAAATCAGTTGAATATTTATCGTAATATTAGTGCAGGACCTGAAGAGTGTCTGGCGTTCAGATCATTTCTAGATAAGATATAATTATATGTATGCCAAATATGTATGTCAATTTGAAGAAAAGGATTGAAATTTCTCTACGAGAAAGTGTAGTGATGTTTATTCACAAGTATTGTATTCATGTATTTATTTTACAACAATACAGCAAATTGTCAATGAATATTATCCGCAGGAAATTTAAATAATCTTTATCTGATCTATCGATGAATATCTTTTTCTGATCTATTAATACAGTTTATCGCAACAAGGCATTTTATAAATTTTTTTGCCTTCGTTAATATATAATATTTTAATTTTTTATATCCTTCTTTTCATTTCTTAGTCTTATTGAAGCTAGCGCTCCGTGCACCTCACATCTTTGAACGTTAGACGCTCCGTCGAGCGCCATTTGCGCGCGGGATGAACAGTGAGAGGAGTAACGGGAGGCGGAACTTCTCGAAATTCGGCCGAAAAGTGCAAATTTTGTCGAGCTCTGTTCTAATAAACTCGCCCACTTTTATAATTTTCATCTCATTTCAATTAAGATACAGAATCAATCTCATGATTCAGAGTAGAAATTCAAATGGAAATATGTGTATTGTCCACTTGATGAAATGTTATGTGAGAGATGGATTTAATTTTTGTGAAAAAGTGATAAAAAAAAGTGAACAAAAATAACCGAGCAAGAAAAGATTTCTT